TTATATATTTTTTAAAATTTTATTTGTTCTTTTTATTTTATGTGTATGCCCGTATTGCCTGCATGGAGGTAAGTGCACCCACATTGTGCAACGCCCACGGAGAACAAAAGAGACTGTCCGATCCCCTGGAACTGGAGTTACGGACAGTTGTTAGCTGCCATATGGTGGCTGGGATTTGAACCTGGTTCTTCTGCAAGAACAGTCAGTGTTCTTAACCACTGAGCTATCTCTCCAGTCCCAAAATTAATTTATATTTTTTAAATTTTATTTTATTTATATGAATGTATTGCCTGCATGTGTATAAGTGCCTGCAGAGGTCAGAAGAAGGCATCAGATTCCCCTGGAACCGGAGTTATGGATGTTAGCCACCAAGTGGGTGCTGGGAATAGACCCCAGGTCCTCTACAAGAGCAGTCAGTGAAACTTGGCAAAGAAACTTAGCACAGATGCCAAGTGCCATCTCCAGGAGCCTGGGGGAGCTCTGCCAGGTTTCAGACATCTCCCTTTAAACCAAACCAGAATTCCTGGTTTCAATTGCTGATGGGAAGTTTAGGAATAGTTAACATAAGGCAGTTCAATGCAGATTTAAGCACGAGAGCTAAAGGCAAAAAAAAGTTGCTCCAGGGGAGATACATTCAAACCAGCAGAGCTTCCCTAGAAGAAATACACCCCACCCCCAACAGGCCACGTCTACCCCTTGCCCTGCAGGAAACAGAGCATGAAGGACAAGACCAAAAAAGATGAAATAGGAAGACCAGTCCCAGAATTCATCACCAGCTCTGAAGATGAGTTAACATATTAAATCAAACTTATAACCAGCTGGAGTTTGGTTTTCTCAAACCATTTTTCACCCTGGTATGGTAGCCCATGCCTTTAATTCCAGCCCTCGGGAGGCAGGCAGATCTTTGTGAGTTCAAGGCCAGCCTGGTCTACACAGTGAGTTCTAGGCCAGCTAGGGCTACAGGGAGACCCTGTCTCAAAAAGACCAAAAAACAAAAAAACAAAAAAAGACCAAAAAACCATTTTTCAGGCCTTTAGAGGTGTGAAAACAACACAAAACCAGACCAAACATCAAAACTAAAATATTTCCAAAGCAAACAAACAAGAGGTATCTTAAAATAAGCATCTTGAAAGCTAACCAAAACCAAAAGGTATCTAACAAATAAGACCCTTGAACAATCCACTCAGATACTGTTTTGCATAACAGCACATAAAAGTTTTGTGAAACACTTAATAGACCTAGAGACATTGTCTAATAAATTTAAAGATGTTTAAGGGTATCCAAGTTCATAAGGCCTTTGAATATGTCACCAAAATATCCATATTTATAAATCTGTGTATATGTACTTAAATTGGGCATGCCAAAACAAAACAAAAATAAAACTAATAATTTTGTACACAATAAAAGAATGAAAAGGCTGGGTGTGGAGGTGCACGCCTTCAATTCCAGCACTCAGGAGGCACAGGCAGGTGGATCTCTTGTGAGTCTGAGGCCAGCTGGAGCTTCAAGGAGACCCTGTCTCAAAGAGACCAAAAAAAAAAAAAAAAAAAAAGAATGAAAAGAAAAAATTGAAGTGGCCAGTTAGTGTTGATGGAAACAACACATGAAGACAATCATAGACACACATGACAGAATTACGTGAAATCTCAACACACGAGAAAATGTATAGACATACATCATATAATTACATGAAATCTCAAACAACAAATGGAAAATGATTATTATAGACAAACAAGACATAATTACACGAAAACTAGGTGTACCAAAACCGCAATAATCAAGGATTTTGGTTAGGATGGTCCTTTGTGAGTAAATACTTATCTTTTAAATCTGGACTGGAGAACACTTCCTTCATAATCTCCTCGTAGCTATGGGGCAGTTCTCCCTCCTCTTCTGGTAAACATGAGGCTGGGTTTTAGAGTTCAAGTAGCCTCCATCCGCACTCGGGGATTCTTTCCCAGCATGGCCTGGTATCAAACCACTTGACTTCACAGGAAGTTTTTAATTTAGAGGGTTTTATCTTAATGCCATAATCTCCTGTATAGCCTAGTTTAATGTCGTCCCTAGTTATTCCATTAAATTCCTGTTTTACTGAAATGGGACCAGCACCTTGGAATCACATCAAGGTTTAATTGTGGTCCCCTTTCCTTCCTGACTAGAGGCCAGTGCCATCTTGGAATCACATCAAGACTTTGAATGCAGCCTCCTATAGGGATCAGCCCAAGTCGGCTTCCACCTAACATGGGGTAGGGGGGCTTACCTGGTCTGGACATCCATTCTGGGTCTCTGTCTCACTTCACCTGGTGAGAAGCTCCAGGCTATGTAGTATTTTCTGGCCTTCTGGAAGGAGAACCCAGAGAGGAAATTCTTCAGGGGTGTGCACATCTCTGTTCCAGGGGCTGAAGGGACTGCAGGGTCCAGGAGAGGCAGCCTCTATTACCAAAAAGGGGTACAGCAGGTTGATCTCATGGAGGCCTCCAGAAATGTTACAGAAAAATCAGAGACCAACAGCCAAAGCCAGGTGAGGAGAGTTTTTTCTTCGGCAATAGTGGGACTGACTATGGATCTTTTATGGATCATTCCATAAAAGAGTCAACCAAGAATAGCTAATATTTTCATCAATGCATTTAAAATCAGAAAAAAGGATTATACACTTATAGTTGGAAAGCACCTTAAAGATTATCTAATTCCTCTCTTTTCTAACATGAAAAGTCAGACCCAAGAAATTTGCTACTTGCTTAATGTCCCAAAAGGGTTTTTCATTTCCTAGTTATTCTTATTTCACTACCTTTTTTTTTTGCATTCTTGTTTTTTAAATAAATTGTATGTGTATGAGTGTATTGCTTGCAAGCATGTAAATGCACCCATGTTGTGCAATGTCCATGGAAGTCAGAAGAAGGCATCAGATTCCCTGGAATTGGAGTTAAGGATGGTTGTTAGCCACCATGTGGGTGCTGAGAATGGAACCCAAGTCCTTTGCAAGAGCAGCCAGTGTTCTTAACTGCTGAGCCATCTCACTAGCTTCTGTGATTCTTGAGGACAGTGACAAGTTAGATTTCTAGATCATCCTTCTATTCTATAAATCCCTATTTACTTAGAATTTCGTGATTATAAAGCCTCTGCTTTCTCCATGCAAGGAAGCCCTTTTCTTCCAGTTTCTATACAACACACAAAGGAAGTGAATGCAAACGTAACACATTGTTCTTTGTGACTTTATGAAGGAAATAAAGGGCAAATGTGCCTATCCATAAATTATTTCCTGGCTCCAAAGATGAAGGAAGAGTCATACAAAGCTCATCCTTTGGGGAGGCTAAAACTTACTTGTAGAAGAAAACAAAAGGCTAACATGCTAGAAAACAAGGCAAATCAGGCCTGTTGAGGCCAAAACTATGTTGCTGGTAAGTATCTATACCTAGCCTCAGGTAGAGATAAATAAGTGAAGAATCAATTTTAGAATGTAATATGGCCACTTTGGGTGGTATAAATGTCCTTATCTTTCAGCAAGTATTTATTATCTACTCTAGACCAAGTGCTGCTTTGTATCTAAAGAAATAGTAATTGTTCTGGTTTGTTTTTTCATTGCTGTGACAAAATACTCTGACCAGTACCAACTTGGGGGAGGAAAGGGTTTATTCAGCTTACAACTCCCAGGTCACAGTTCATCAGGGAGCCCAAGGTAGGGGTTCAGGGCAGGAACCTAGAAGCAGGAGCTGGAGCACAGGCCATGGAGGAATGCTGCTTACTGGCTTGCTCCCCTGGCCCCTGCTCAGCCTTCTTTCTTATGCAACACAGGCCCACCTGCTCAGGGGTGGCACCACCCACAGTGGGCTGGGCCCTCCCACATCACTCATCAAGAATATGCCCTTCAGACATGGCCACAGGCCAGTCCAATAGAGGCAATTCCCCAACTGAGGCTCCCTCAACCCAGTGTGTTAAGTTGACACTAAAGTTATCCAGCACAGTAATGAAAAAGCCAGAGGTCTCAAAAGCCAGGCATGGTGGTAAATGTCTGTAATTACAGTACTCAGTAGACTGAGGCAAGAGGATTGCTTTAAGTTTGGGGCCAGCATGTACAATGTAACCAGACTATGTCTACAAAGGAAAGGAAGGGAGAGGAGGAAGGATGAAGGAAGGAAGAGAGGAAGGGAGGAAGGGGAGAAAAGAAGGGCAAATCCCCACCCCTGCTCATGCCAACACAAAGTTGCAGTTCCCTGACCACTCCACTGTTCCACATCCCATATCCTTTCAAATGTTTCCAGTATCCCCTCTCCTCCTTGCATTTTCTTCTAGCACCAGCACATTCACTCAAGACTTCATTATCATTTCATGCCTAAACCAGTTTTCTAACATATCACAGTCTTCTTTCAATCTATGTGTTATATGCTATGGCCTGATAATAGTTTCCAAAACTCCAGTTTCTCCTGGGTTATTCAGTTCTTGAAATCTTCAAGTGCTTCTGCACAACCTACCTGAAACTTCCCACCTACCTTGTCTCAGGCTGTGTGTTCTGGTTCTAGCTCTGCTGGCCAAACCTAATCAGCAGGAACACTACCTAGAAGAAATTTTAACTGTATAGATGTTCTCACCACACATTCTGTATGTTTATACACAGAGAGAACTGATTTAGGAAGATGCATTTGTTTTATTTAAGTGGGTTAAGTTCCAGCAAAAGTCATTTTAAATCAACATAACATAAAGAATTTAATTGTTCCATAGAAACAATGTTGTTATAAAGAGCTCCACTCTGGTCAATAAGCCAAAGGCCCACATTTTTATTACAGGCCAAGATAGTAGAGAAAGTGCTATTATGTCAAAATGTTCTAAATAGAATGCCAGTCTCTGTGAAAGTAGCATAATTCTAAGCAAGTGTCTACCCAGCAACCCTTTGTGAAAATCATAATCACCTGCCTATGCACTAAAACCCAGGGCTTTTTAAAGTATGCGTAAGTAGTTAGGCAATACAGTCACAAGAACACATTTAACATGATATGATATCAAAACTTACATTATTTTCTTTGCTTACTTGATAACTTCCACTTTATTTTCACTACAGTAAATTAGAAGGTTAAATATCATAACTCTGTCAAGGACATAGAGTTTGGAAAAAAAATCTACTTGGATGGATTCTGACAGTACCTTTGAAACAGACTTAGAGATACTTATGACTTTTTTCAGTGACACTGGTACAGAGATAATTGAATTGTTGGTGTCACATTTTTTTTCTGTCAAGAAAAATATTCTTGTAACAATCTTGAAGCATTAGAGATTAAACTAAAGATTCTTATATTTCTCAAAACCTTCAGCAACAGTATTACTGCCTCAAACTTAACACATGAGTTTTTAATTACATTAATTTTTTTATCTCTCACTACTTACTTTATAATGTTAGAAAGACTCAAAATAGCGTGGACAAAGTCAAGCTCAAAAACCATAGTAATATGATTTGACTCAAGTAAAGTAAGTCTATGTAAACACCTTACTTACAACAGAAGCGCTGGCTTATGTTCAAGAAGACAGCCAGACCCTGCATATAACCAGTCATGTAAGTGAATTTTTACAGATAGATTATGTTCTCGGATTAGTGACTAATTTTCCCCCAAAGCCTATTAAATAGACTGTTAAATGAGGTTTTTTTGCTACAGGGTATACCAAAAGCCTTTTAAGTATGTATGTTGTTAGTCATAAATTTAACAATTTTGTTTATAGTAATGTTTTCCAAGGAAATTGCAAAAACATATTTACAAAACTGTGTTTTGTAACATGATGTATAACAGTAAAAATGAAAAAGTTAGATGTGCATAATAAGGAAATAATTTTAGGATTCAAGCAGGCTTCGCCTGGGTTCCAGCCAGAAGGCTAAGGCTAAAGGTTTGCATAGAGGTGATTTACTTTAATAAGTAAACCCAAGGAGGAGATGTGACAGACTATGACACATGGACTAGAGAAGAAGGAAACTCATTTCAAAGGTAGATTATAAAACCAGAAACTATTGGGAACCACAAACAATGTGACCCCTTTGAATTTTCAGCCTCAAAAGGCAGTATTGGAGAACATTTATTTACTACCTCCCATGCTCCATTGGTTAAGGTTTTTCCAATGAGGATTAACACCTTTACACTTCCAAGTCTGCACATACTGACGTGCTAAGTGGGATCTCACAGGTTTCCCACATGAGCTGTGAGAAGACAGAAACTGAGAAATATATAGTGTAGCTGCAACAGTGGGTTCAAGTGAGGTATGACCTGTGCCAGAGTGAAATCAAGACTGAGAGGGTATGAGGTATGAGAGCAAGAGGTGCCCAACACAGTCACCATGTGCACTAAGGTGGTGCTGCAGATCGTAATATTGACGTGAAAGATACCTGTTCGGCCTTAAGAAGGGAGTGAGGCAAGTTTCAAGATGTTATGTGTAGCTGGATCCCATTCATTTTCATTAGCTAGATTTTGTTTCTAGTCTTTCAACTTAGCTCTTCAAGGTGAGAGGGTGGTGGAATGAAAGAATCAATGGAGCAATGCGGAAGTGAAGATCTCAGAGGATGCACCATACAGACAGCCCTCAGGGGAAATGGGAAGCCACATTAGTCTCCGTCTATTCTTACTCATGGCTGGCTTGCTGGGCCTGCCCTCTGTACCTGAGCATCCCTGCTTCACCTACAGTCTGGTTTCTACTTCTTCCCAGTCTCGGTTTCTGTTTTTCAGGCACAACCCTCCCCCTCCCCCTCCCCCTGCCCCCAAGCCCTCAACCCTCCCCCCTCCCCATAGCCACATAGCCAACTCCCTCAGGGAAACTCTTGTCTTCTCCCCTCAGAGGTGTTCCTTTCTCAAGGAATGTCTATTTATAGGTTGCTGTCCACTTCAAACTCTCAAGACATCTCAGTGTACTTGGAAATCAAGTCCACACTCTTGTCCAGGGCACTCCTGACTCTCTGATACAGGGTTCTTGCCACCCTCTCCATCACCATGCCACTTCAAGGTAACTCATCCATAGGAAACATGCCAACCTTGTTCCTACTTTAGTCTTTAGCTTTTCTGTGCTTTCTGCCTGGAACTCAGTTCCCCCAGCTCTTCACCTTATTCAACTCTCAGTTCAACCATCATCTCCTCAGAGAAGCCTTCTCAACACAGGCTCTCTATGTTAACAACTTCCTACCAAGTCTCCCTGTTTCAAGCCCTTCAGAGAGCTTCCCATCATCTACAATTCCTTTCTTTAATTATTCGTTATCCCTTTTTCCTGTTATGCCCAGCACACTGGACAACTAGGTACTCAGTAACCATAGTTGACTCACAGAATGAATGTACTGGTATTCATAATCCAAGTTTCCAATAGGAGAAATCTGATAGGTCCATCTTGTTCTATTTTCAGATCACATCACACCAACTGGCCAATATATTGACAACCCTATATCCTGAAACCCTTCTCCAATTCAGTGGCAA